TATATAAAGTCTATGTGCATAGTGTTTTTCTTGGGCATGGAGATAAAAGGTTTTGGCCAGTGTCCCTGTGGGATTCTTCCTCTGCTTACCTTCTATGATGTAGACACACTCTCGGTCAGGGGGGTACTTGCTAGGATAGTTGGGAGACGTGAAGATACCTCCATCGGCATGTTTTGTCCAAGTTCCACACTGCACTGCTTTCTGTGTTTCTGATGTGGTTTGCTTCTCTGTAAAATAGAAATAAGTAAATTTTAAAAGAATCATTTAATTTTCTATAACACTAAAAATAGAGAGGACATTCTTATAATATCCATTAGTAAATTAATTTTGAAATGCTCTGCTAGTCAAAAACCAATCAATTATACACACTATAAAATGTTCAGACATTCTGGAACATTAAGAGTAGGGGAATATAGGGAAATGCAAAACAATTAGATGTTGTCCACCAGCATTTTTCCAAAGAAACACACCTGTTCCTTTCTTGGTTGCCCCAGAGAAATGGAGGATGATTAAACTTGCTACAACTGAAATAGAAAAGAAAAATTAGAAAGAGATAAAGTGCACTGAGAGGACCAAGTTTTATAAAAACATAATAAGATTTCAGGGTATAATGATACCAAAGCAGATTAATGTCCTATCATTGACTGTTACAAGTTAACTCAGAACTTGCAAAAATTAATTCAAAATGTGTAAGAGAACACTCGGGGAACCTTTTAGAGAACTAGTGCGTGTTTACAATGAGTGAGATCCAAACTCCCCAGGAAAATGTATACCTCAAAGTTAAAAGAAACATTATCCTACTCTACTGGTAGCTCATAGCTTCCAGAGGGATTTCACGACCTGTGCACTTATTACACTACCCTTCCTGGAAAGGCTTTGCCAGTGTCTCTGAAGGAAAAAAAGAGGTGTGTCAGGTAACAGGAGGAAAAGGGAAAACAAACAATGAGATAGAAATCCATGACTGATCCCAACATATTGCCAATGCACTTGTATTTTAGAAAAATAAACACAGGCAAATCCTGCCCTGTGTTTGGAGGGAAGAAATAAAGAAAAACAGATTAATGGGGCTGGAAGGTATTAAGCAGCATTATAAAAACTTGCTTACAGAAAGTACTGAACTACCCTGCTCTCAGCACTTCTAAACTGTGACATTAATCTTTTCTAACCTTAACTTTGATTCAGTATTTAGTGCTACGGAACAACAGACAATTCTTTGGAGAGAAATGGTTTCTAGAAGCATTTTACTGAGTCTGTCATTCAGGATTAGAAACTGATCTGTAGTTTTACAGGAAATCTGAAATACCATTATAACCTGAAATTCTTTTGCTTTGCTCTTGATTTGCTTAACAGCGGCATAAGCTCCAAAGTATCCAAGTAGTTAAATCTCTAATATTCAGAATTCCTACTTTTTCCTCTTCTACCTTTTTTTTTTATTTTGCTGCCCAATTATATAAAAGGTTCATATTCTGACACTTCCTCTTAAATGAACTCAGAGGAGGGGGGTATACTTTATGATGGTTTCAGTCTTTCAGCCAAGGCTTAGTGCAGGAGCTTATAAATTTATGTCCAAGCATTATTTTAGGGAACTAATCTGGACTGTGATCTTAATATTTGAGAAATCATCCGTTGTATCACTTTATATTCCAGCCAGACCCCTACTTCTTACAGTTAAAAATCTGGTCACTGTGTCACTGTTTGTGTGTGTGTCTGTGTAACAGCAGCAATAAATAGAGAAAACATCACCTTCCCGTGCCATCTTTGTACACACAGAGACCCAGACCTCCACAGAGGCTGCATCCACCAGCGTCAGGAGCACATTTGTTTACTCTGCTTCTCCTGCTTTGGTGGACCGTGGAAGGTGTGTTGTGTTTAACTCTTCAGCAAAGCGCAGAATTGGGACACTAATCCTGGTTTTTGAGCGTGATTTCAAACACGCATTTTCTTACACTCCCTTTTCCTGATTGACTTTCGGTGCTGCCTGCCTCCACCACCTGCCCACCTTACGGGGCACTCTGTGGGGCACACTCGGAAGCAGAGAGCCAGAGTTCTAGGTCCAGCAGGCAGGGGCAAGTGGAGACTGCCACTCGCCCTTTAGCAGCCCTGAGCTCAGGAGTGACTTCTCCTACCTAGGAGACAGTGTGGGCCCCCAAGCTCTGTGAATCCAAGCAAAAAGAAGATTTATTTTTGTCCCATCAAGGATCCACCCTGCGCTCTCGGTTTCCACCTGCGCCTTCACTTGGGCCGCAGGCTGCCCGCACGTGTGCGGTTCTCTCCACTCAGAGCTCGCAGCCTACACAGAGACTGTTTTCCCCCCGCCGGCTGGGAGGTCGAGCGACGTCTGGCCGCGCGCCGCCCCCACGCCTGGCTCTGTGATGCTGCAATACAGAAAGTTTACGTCGCCCGGAGACTCGTGGGCACTGAGGGGTCCGCTGGAGCGCTCCGGGCTTCTCCCCTGCGACTTCCGGGAGGTCGGGGGCCGGCACCTTAAAGCTGCGCGGCGCGCGGCGGGAAAGGTACTCACTGTGAATCAGACTGCGTCCATGGATCATGTCTGTGCGTTACACCAGAGGCTCCGAGCTCCACTAATTCCATTTAGAGACGGGAGGACTTCGGTGGTGGGGAGCGGATAGTCCAGAGATTTTAAATATGCAAACCAAGAACAAAATACAGGGGGGAAAGCGACACAGAGACGGGAGAGAGAGAGAGAGATCCGAACCCACACGGCAGCCAGATCCGAATTAGTCCGTCCTCCACCCCTGGCTCGCGCCCGCTCACTGCCGCGAAGCCAGCATCCCCTCCGCGACGCTCGCATCACACAGGGCGCCTACCGCCGCCGCCGCCGGCCGCAGCCTCTCCGTGTGCATCACCGCCGCGCCGCAGCTTCTGGAGGGCGCGCGGGCAGGCGGGCGCGGGCGAACCCGGGGCCCCAAAGCGGGGCCGGGCCGGGCCGGGCCGGGAGGCAGGCGGAGCGGGCGGGGGCCAGTCCCGACCGACGGCAGCGACGGCTGGGGCTCGCTCAGTCCCCAGTCTCATACACCACCAGCAGCAGGTCGGAGCAGCCTCCCAGGGAGGATGTCCAGCAGCAGCCCTCCTCTCGCCAGCCCTTGGGGATCTTCCGCTGAGGCATTGAAGACGGGAGGAAGGGGTCCGTCATCGGCTCGCCGGGCTCCGCGCCACCTCTGCGATCTTGCGGAGAGAGGAGCTGGTGGGTGGGCGTCCGGGAGGAGGGCTGGGGGGTGGCGGAGGGGACGGGGGTGGCTCGAGGGGGCGGGGAAGGGAGGGAGGGAAGGGAGCAGGAAGATGGCAGAGTTACCAAGTGCGCGCCTTAGTCATAGCTCTAGGCTGCAGACCCTCCAGGAAGCCTAGAGTCGAGGAGCAGCCGGGCAGCGGCGCGCGGCGGGCACCCCCAGAGCTGGTGCGCGGCGGACTGGGGCGGCGGCGACAGCAAGGACATCACAGCTGCTGGATCCTGGGGGAGGGCGGGGGAGGGAGTGAGGACCAGGCTGGGATCCGTCACTCTGCCTGCCCGGGAAGGGACGAGAGAGGCGCAGGCAAATCCTCAGCTGGACCCGGGCGCTGAAACAGAGGCATGGAAGGGGGAAGGGCCATCTCTCGAAAAATGCCTTTGGGGTTTGGATTTTATACTTTTTAAGGGTTAGAAATTGCTGTGGGTCGGCCTCCCACCCCTTGTCTTCCTTCCATCTAAGAGGCGCGGGCGCTTCCAGCCCTCGGTCTTCTTTATGGTGAAGGATTCTCCGCCAGTGTCCGCCAGCCTGGAGCCCGGGCCGCGGTGCTGAAGGAAGGGGCAGGCTGTAAAAGTTTCTCGGTCGATCCCTGGGCCGGAGGCCGTCGCCTCAAAGGCACTGCGAAGAAGCAGGCTCTTGCAATTTACTTTTCCCCTGCTGAAAGGATTTAAAACAGCCCAGAAGGCAAACACGTTTTACCCCACCCACTACACACAGACGCGCGCGCGTTAAATTCTAGGCGAAAAAGAGTTGGTAGAACAACAGCACCGCAAGAGCTGGAGCTCGCGAAAAGCGAGTCAGTCAATTAGGAGCCACAGTGAAGAAGAGGTAGCGTCGCGGGGGCCGGGAGCTCTAGAGCGAGGGGAGTCCCTCCCTGGACGCCGCAGCGGCGCCGCCTCCCCTGCCCAGAGGGTCCCGCCCTCCTCCTCAGCCTCTGCAGAGCCGCGCACCCGCCACACTCGCGCCCTCCGGACCTCGGACGCGCTAGAAGGGTCCGAGCCCAGCCGATGCTCCGGCGTTCTGAGGCCTTCAGAGCATGCCGCGAACCTAGCTCTGGAGCTGGGACTGCGCTCCAGGTGGGGGTGTTGAGCAGTTGGGGGCGGGGCGAACTAGGGGTGTAGACTGGGGCCAGAAGCGGGGCCGCCAAGAGTGGGGGGCGGCCTCAAAAGGTCAAGGAGAGAAGAAAGAGCCTGGAAAGGCAGAAAGAAAGGGCGGTGCTCGGGTTGCTGCTGCGGATCCTGGCCATTACGCGCCTGCACCTGCTGCTGCGGTCCCGGGACGCCCACGGGGATGCGTGGGTGCTGGGTGTGTGCGCTCGCCGCGGTCTTGACCGCGCCGGGAGACGGTGTTCTGCCAATGAAAAATGTGGGCAAGGAATAAAGGGGTGAGCCTCCGAGTCAGGAGGAGATTCCCGAGATTCAGATGCAGCTTACAAGACTCCTGCCGCCAAGTTTTTGGTTCCTGGTCTCTAGGCAGTTAGAAGTCACTGAGGGTGGGTAAAGGCCGAGTAGAGGTGTGTGTTCTTCCGTTTAAGGAAAGGTGGGCGATTGCTTGGGGAAGGATCAGAGAGAGAAAGAGACTGAACTCAAGAGCAAAAGCGGAGGAAGAAAGGACAGAGACAGAGACAGAGACAGAGAAACAGAGAAAGAGACCGAGCGTACGCAGAGCTCCAACTCCACCAGAACCCGAAGCCTGAGCCTGTGAGCGGAGCTACAGGCTCAAGAAAAGGAAGTAGAGAGAGAGAGGATGGGTGGAAAGTCGGTGAGTAGCTGCCCACGCAGTACTTATTAAAGGGTGAAAGTATGGGGGCGCAGCAGGTCCCGCGGGAGTCCTGTATCCCACGCGCGATTTTTGAGCCAGTGGGCGGGGTAGGAGCAGCGAAGCAGCAGTGGGCGTGGAGTTGCGGAAGAAGCCCCTCTCCCTCCCCGGCCATCTCCAGCTGGTAAGGAAGAAAAAGGAACCGAGTCTGCTAGGGGACTGGTTAGCAGAGAAACAGATGGATTACGAAGAATGACTGGGAAACATTAGTTTGGATCCGGGTCAGCTGTGGAGGAGACAGGTGGGAGACCAGTGACGCGAGCTGATGTTTTCATATCGTAATCTTTCTTGAGATTTGATAGTCATTTTTAGCATTCAGATATGCCTTTTATAATAAAATAGGCAAAATCCGTCAAGTAAACAGTGGAAACACAAAATTGTTTTCAGAGAATTTACTGTATTTCTTAACAGGATCTGAAGCTAGAGGAGCAAATACTTGATTATCTACTTATCTATTTATTTATTTTTATGCTAACACTCCATCTCAAGGACCCTTTTCCTTTTTGTCCAGACGTGTTTCCCAGCACACAGCTTTTGTAGCCCTGCTAAGGAAGTGGCCATTGCAGATCTGGCTGAACGGGCGGTCCTTGTATGAGAAGGAAACATACAGAAAATTCAGAATGGAAATCCCTGAGGATGAAGGGATCCTAAACTTTGACCCTGGCCCTATCTAAAGTCAAATTCTCGTTCTGGCCTCTGACCTTGAATGCCTGCTGGTGGTCAAGGCATTGCCTAGGGGCTGAGAAGTTGCAGACCAGCTCCACCCTCAGTGCTAGGAGTGAGTGTGAACCTCCCGGAGCACTTGCCGGGCAGACCCATCTAGGGACTGTGTCACCTGAGACTGAGCCAAAACAGGTGTCCAGCCTTTGGCTTTACTCCACCAATATTCCCAGGTTGGAGATGCAACTTTTGTTTAAGATTATAGCCTCTGGTGTTTCCACACACTCCTGTACATTCATGCTTTTAACTATCACATCCTGCTTGCTTGGTGAGCTGCCTTATTTCTGAATCCCACTATCACTACTTGCTGAGACGTTATTTTGAAAGTCACAATGATAAACTGATTGCTTCTAGGAGTTAGAAGAGGGAATTCTTATCAGAGTTGCCCCAAGTTAGAAATAAAAGTGATCACCACACTACAATTAAAGCTTTCTGGACCCAATTAAGTATCAGTGGTATTGTTTTGTTTTAGCTTGTATCTGCATAACAGTGACAGATTAAGAAAAATTTCCAAAGCTTTCAGTGAATTGGTGTAGCAAGCATACACTTAAAACTCAAATGCACATGGTATTTGTCTCCATGTATATAATTCTCTATAGAAAATAATAAAATCAGGCTCCCTGAAGGCTACATGATTAATTCTTTCTGTGGGTCTGATAACATTTTAGAACTTGTTTTTCTATTGCTAAAGAGAGAATCTTTTTTTTTTCTTTTTTTTTTCTTTTTTTGGTGGGGGGAGAACCGGGGATTGAACTCAGACCCTTGCGCTTGCCAGGGAAGCACTTATTCCACTGAGCCATCTTTCAAAATAACTGAAAGAAAATTATGCCTCCAACATAGTACAATTAAAGAGTAGTTTTATTTTTAAGTAACATTCTACTTAAATAGTTTCAAGAAATTAAAACATGTTTTCTGATTTTATTCATCAATATACAAGTCACACTTTATCAAAAATTATTGACAAGTAATTTGATGGCTAGTGGAGTATTCTTGAAAATTAAGTCAGTATTCTCAAATCAACCTGGCTTCTGGCAATATTGATAAAGCCAATTTCTCTTCTGGAATCTGTGCCTGCGTCCATGCAGAGCAGGAAGTCTAAATCTTTGAGTTTTTACATTTAAATCAAACAGAATTATTCCTTGATGATGACTAGTAAAGTATAAGCTATGGTTTCCTCAGAAGTGTGAATGTATTGAGTTGTTAGCACAAGAATATCAGCCTCTTGTAGGCACAAAGTTGAGTAGCATTTGACTGGTACATAGTTCTTGTTCATATTCTTTCCCATCATGTTGTAGTTGTACTCCAGAGATGATATATTGTATTTTCTACTTAGGAAACTATGAGAATAAAGACAATTCCATTATGTAGCAATCTTTGCAAAAAGTTTTAAAAAACTTGTCATCGTAATGATTGATAATTGACAATTGCTTATAAAAATAATATGGAGTTTTGTTTTTTTTTTAAATCACCAGAATAATTAGAATTATCGGTGAATCAGAATAGATCAAAAGTCAGCTTCGGGGGTACATCTCAAGAAGAAGGGAGGTGTGTGAAGGTGCTGCCTTTGTAGTAAATGTGGCATCACAGGGTCCATTCTCTGCTACTTTGGGAAAAATTAAAAAAAAAACAAAACAACAACAAAAAAAAAAAACAAAGCTCTACCACTTAAGAAATGATTTACCTGGATTTGGATATACAAAGTAAGCTGAAAATTACATCAACGTGTTGTGTATCAAAATATCCATTGCTGAATACAAGCTAAACATTAAATTTACAAGTCAGGTATACAAATGTTACTTATGCTTCATTCATTTTTTCTTGGTGATATAAATTATCAAGTTGCATAATTTTGCTAACTAGCTATTTGATTAGGACATAAAATGTTATGATTCATTCTTATGTGGAAGGAAAATAATAAAAGCTAAGGTTTACTTGTTGAAATTAGTCCTGGATATTGAAAGTAAAAGTGATCATATATCTAACTTGAGCAATACATTCTGAGGAGACAAATAAGTTTTGAAACATCAAAGAAATAATGAATTAAAACCTTGGTATTTTCTAAAACAGCAGCAACAACAAAACCAAACAAATCGAAACATCCTGCATAGTCATTTCTGTTAT